GTTTTTAGCCAACACAACCTAAACGAGAATCGGAGATCTCATTATTAGTAGCATAACAATAAAAAGACAGACGAAAATGGACATCGGATGAAGAAGTTATGAGATTTTAACAGACCAATCCTGTCCCGGGCTGTTAAAAATATAACTTTAAAAATAAAGTCAAAATTAGCCGACGGAGTCTAAACGAAAGTTGTAGAGTACGTCTCCACCTATGCGTGGATATAATGAGTTCTTTCGACATTAGTTTAGTACAAATATCATTAAATCCATTTAAAATAGTATTATAGGGGGGGGGGGGTGTTTAGTTGTTTATATAACTAAAAGGTCATTAAGTAATTATGGAGGGTAGTTTTTGAAAATTCAATTAGTATAAATAAGAGCCTTGGGCTCTCATATTTCTTGCACCATTCTCTTGATTCAAGAGTCTTTCTCTCCTTATCCCCCGAACATTTCTGTCCCTCGTGATTCTACTTCTCTTTCTGTAGTTTTTAGTATAGTAAGGTGAGCGCTGAAGCGTTGCACGAATCTTTTTTAGAAAGATTCAGCGACGAAGTTCTACCCCTATAGAGCCTGACTCCTAGCTAAAATCCCCTTGTAAGTAAGTTATGCTTACCCTATTTTGATATATCTTATATTTAAAATTAATATTGTTATTATGAACTTATAATAAATATTTGAGCTATTATTATGACTTATATAAGTGTCGTTATAATATCTTTTTAACTACTCGCGGTACGGGAAATCTGGTTTAAAGGGCCGCATAGGGTTGTTGGATTTCAGAAGTGATATACGCCAAAATGGTCCTGCCCTCTGGTGTTTTATGTTTGGTCCCTGTCTGTACATAGTGGTTGGAAAGTATTGCTTAAACGCTTATATAATAATAATAAGACTAATAATTAGTCACGATAAATATTAGACTAAAATCTAGTGTTAATAATACTAGGTTTCGTCGAAGGAAATTATTTTAAGGTAAACGAAGCGTTGTCCGAGTACTGAGTCACCACCTTCTTAGGTGAGTGCATAGTTACTTTCATCTTACACATAGATATGAAGTATTTTATATAAATTACATGCTATGTGTGCATATTATCTAAATACTTGCTATCTATGCTGCATGAATAATTTTATACATGTTATAAATGATTTAAACTGTATATGTATTTTATATCTACGATAATGTTGGGGTAAAACATGGGTAGATGTAATAGATGGAATATGAGTTTGATGATGAGTTGAGAGGTGTTATAGACCACGAGGTGAGGATGAGAGGTGGAAGATGTGAGAAGCCTTTTCCCAAACGATGGCCCCGTCATTCAGCAGAGTATGCATGGCAACCACGGACTATTCTCGACAGTCCAGTGGAACACTAGCAAACTCACAGCCTGTAAGTGTTGTGAATGATGTGTTCACCCGGTGTACTTTAAACCTTGGAGACCATGCATACTTGGTGCCTAAACCTTGGCGATCATGCAGACTTGATGCCTAAAGCCTGACGACTATGTAGACTTAGTGCCCGTTGTGTAAACCTTGGCGATCATGCAGACTTGATGCCTAACCCCTGGCGACTATGCAGACTTAGTGCCTGTTGTGTAAACCGTGGCAACGATGGACTTCGTGTCGATTCCTTAGGATGATCCTTAGGAATAAATGAACAAGGAATAGCTGATTCTTAGGGTAGATCCTTAAGAATATAAAAGATAATGGGGATGGGTAATTGGGTTGATTGCTTAATTGTTTAAACATAATAATTATATTATTGTGGGTTGAAAACCCTATGTACTCACCAGATTTCCCAACCTGACCCACTCAGTTTATTTATATCATAGTTGTTGTTATGAAGTCACATTACATTGAGAGATGAAGGAGATATAAATCACTAGTGATAATGAACGTAAGTTCTGTTTATGCTTATGTTTCTGTATTGACGATGACATCCCAAATGTTTTAAAATGAATAAAAATATTTTTCTTCGGAAATGCTTTGATAACGTATTTATCATGTTTTACTGGGAACAAATTCCGCAATATTTTTATTAAAAGAGATACTCTGATTTTCATAAACCATAAACAAAATCGGTCTTTCTGGCCGTGAAAATGGGGATGTCACAGTTTTCACAACTTACATAAAAAAAACATCACTACAAATAGCTTAATCACTCAAATACACTACAACTCTCACGTAAACTATGCACACCTAATCTAGAGAAAACCCGAATCGTATAGCAGAGAGAACGAAGACTAAAACACACAGAAGAAGTGAACAATCGATTCAAATTATATCAAATTACACATAGAGAAAAGTTTATATACTCTGGGCATGAATTGGGGCAAATAAATATCAGATCCACAAAGAAACCAAACCAAAAATATACGCCCCTCCTTGTAACTTTCTATAAAGCAAGTTGCAGTCCACAAATTAATACAACATAACAAGATCAGTCCTCCATGCAAATATCTAAATAGAACTACCAATAATTTACATTGCAACCCTTAAACATAAGCAAATAACAAAAAACAAAACTAAAACAGAAAAGGATATAATAAAAGGATATTAAAGTCAAATGATAAGTTTGAACATTCAACTCTCTTAACAATTATATTATAACTTACAAGGCCAAATCATTGAGTAGGAGGATGAAATAAAAGAATTAAGTATAAAGCAATTTAATTTTCCATAATAATATTAAAGAGCTATTTAACACATACAAATGAAATGTAGCATTGGAAATAATGATTGTGTTTGTGTAATAAATAAAACAAAAGGGGGGTTTGTATTGAATGAAAACTGAAAATTAAGAAGTATTTAATCTATAAAATGAAATTTTATATTAATAAAACAGATAGGTTATTCATTTGGATGGACTGGTTCGATTCAATCAAACTATTAATAAAAAGCAATGAATTGTAGAACTTTGTAAATGAAATAATACGGTGATCCAAAATAATGAAATAAAAGATCTAGGATCGAAAAATAATTCAATTTGATTTCGATTTTCAAAACATGAATTTGAATAGTCCAAGTTAAATTAAAATCTGATTCGAACCAACCAAACTGCAATTCGGTTGAATCAATTTTCATTATTCAGTTTTCAAGTTTTGATGCATTCCAAAAAAAATATATATACTTTTAATATTTTAATACTAGTAACCTTGATTTTTTTTTTCAAGTTTAAATCTACAAAGATTCATGTTATTTCATCTTAGTGAACTCGAGTAAATAAACAAAGCAAAGAAAATGAATTACTTGTGAACTAAGTTTTTATATTACTTGAGACGTTATTCAGGACATGCCTTTAATTTAAATTCAAATATATATATATATATATATATATATATATATATATATATATATATATATATATATATATATATATATATATATATATATATATATATATATATATATATATATATATATATATATATATAAAAGATCGGATAAAGACTTTTTAAAGTGATGACATCTTAAAAAAATTTAAAAGAAATACAAATCATAAAATTAAGAATAATACTACATCGGAGAGAAAAAAAAAATTTGATCATTAAAATTGCAGCATATATATCATTTTTATGATCCATGATTCAATTTTAATGATACAAAAAAAAATTTGATTTTTTTTCTCCCGGATATAATACTATGCTCGATTTTATGATTTGCATTTTTTTAGATTTTTTTTTTCAATTTTTTAAGGTATCGTCACGAGTCCTCACCGAAAAAAGAGTATATATATACACACACTATAAATAAATAATTGTTATCGAGTTTGTGTGGACTATTCGTTTATCATTTTAGCAATTAAAACCAATCCAAAATCTAAAATAATACAGATTTTAATAAAGATTGATCTAAAAATCCAATTATCCTAACCATATAGTCAAATTCAAATTGTCTAACTGCACAATCAGATTTTATCTAAGTAATAAATTATCCTAGGTTTAGCATCCTATGTATAGCCATATGATCATGGAAGGATGATTATGGTACAATAGTTACTCGTGCGTCATATTATATCGAATTGAGTTTTTTTGTATGACTTGACAACACTCATTAGAAATCATATATTCGATCAAATAAATACTACTCAAATTCTAATATACGTGTTAGATTCAAAAACATAAAGGTTGATTGAATGCAAATGGACAACAAGCTGCGCCGTTAGCCCTTTCTGGATGACAAAACCAATTCTTTTGAAAACAACATTTGTGGATTTAGGAGATATGACATTAAAATACATGATTCGTTGGATTCTATTGAGGAGTTCTACCGCCTCTGGTGATAGAAAACCAAAAGTATCGAATGCAAAAGGTACAAACATTTTATATACATGCATTATTGTGTTTTACCACTTTGCATGCAACGGCTTTCAAAACGACATGCCCAGCCGTGAAACTCCTGCTCCCCAAACCAACGAGAGGAGAGACCAAAATGCTTCCCTCTTATCCATCCAAAGACCAAAATGTCAGCCGGTCTAAGTGTGGACCTTCCATTCTGCGGGTCTATCAAAAAGATCACTAAGTTCACTGACGCTTCTTCCTTCACAAAAATACTAGCACGCTAACAAGCATCAAAGAGAACATCCCGAATCACAACATGTCTGTACTTGAAACCAGTGAGTTCTCTACAATGAACCGCGTGTTCCCAAAGGTATTCAAACATGCCTTACGGCAAACTAAGTATATCTCATCAATTGGGAATATGGAAATCATGAAGCGGTAACAAATGATAGTACTCCACAGAAGACATAGCATTATACACATGAATTTATCAATTTTATGATCAACCTACGTGTAAGTTTGGAAGGTTTGAGGTTATAAATCCTCATATGTATTGATCATTATTTCTTCAAAACTATGTACCATGCCTATTATTGTTGGTACAAAACTTTTGCAACCAATATTATAAGTTTTTTTTTGTAGTTTTGTGCAGATATAGTCCAATTATTATCAGATAGTGTACTTTTAAAATATACAAGCCAAACCAAAATCGAACAAAAAGATGAATAATGAAAGCAAACCTTTTTTATGGCGATATACAGTGAAAAAAGTAGCTCAGATCAGAATATACCCAAAGCAATCATCCTACCTAGTACTAGTAGAACAAAGAAGACTTGCTCCTTTTGCTATATATAACAATTACCAAAACACCATAGATAATAACAAACCTCGCCCAATAACCAAATAAGAAAAGAAGAAAAAAAAAACATCATTAGATTTTTTTTAGATAATAAAATCACTAATTACTGCTTAAATAGAGCAAACCAACCACCACTAGCCGCCTACTGTTGCTGTGGCTCACCACCTTCCCTAGACCGGCCGCCCATCCTCCCCCTTCCTCTTCCACCTCCACCTCCAACCCCCCTGCCACCACCTCCTCTCATGAACCCACCTCCTGTATTTCAATTTAACATCAAAGATCAAAAGGATTAAACAAAAAGAGTAAATTACATTTTGGTCCCTGAATATAGCTGATTTTTGTAACTTTGGTCCCAAAAAGTTCTCTTGCAAACTTTACCTTTATCATTTGAGGTTTTTGTAGCCTTTTTGGTCTTTGAGTAATTGTATAGCTGATTTTTGTTGAAAATAATCATTTTGTTTTAAATAGTGACAAAAAACTCAAATAAGAACCAGAAATGCAAGAGAACTTTTTGGGACTAAAATTTCAAAAATCAGGACCAAAAATGTAATTTGCATAAAAAATAAAAAATCACTCACCACGGTAGCCTGCATTCCCACCACGGGCCCCACCTCGACCACGGTTTACATAACCATTGTTATCTATGAAAAACAATAATCAAAACTAAATTAAAATTCAATCCTATAAATAAAGTTCATGTAAAATCCAAAATTACCTTGATAGCTGTTTCCATAGTCACCACCACCACCACTTTGATAGTTGTTTCCGTAATCACCACCACCACCACCACTTTGATAGTTTCCATACCCCCTGCCGCCTCGATAGTTCCCATACCCCCTGCCACCACCACCCCTGGTAGTTACCATAACCACCACCACCACCACCACCACCCTGACCCTGGTAGTTCCTATACCCATCCCCCCCTTGATACCCATACCCATACCCACCACCCCTGTTCCACCCACGACCCCTCCCTCCTCTTCCCCCACCTTGACCACGACCCCCCCCTGTTTCCATGGTAGTTTCCACCATATGGCTCTACAAATAAAAAAGAACATTTTTTTTTATCAAAATAATAATAATAATAATAATGCTTTTTTACATGACAATATAATCATGATAACACACCTTCATTGATCACATTGTAAGCTTGCTGTGTGTTTCTTGGTTGTTGTTGTTGTCTCTGATAATTGTTATACTGTGGCCTTGGCCTCTCAACATAGAGTGGAGCTTGGTACCTGACTTTATGTCAATTTTTATTTATTTATTTTTTGAAAAAGAAGAGGTAATTATCACAAGCAGAACTCACCCTGGTGAATTCTTGTTTAGCTCCTTGGTTGACAAAGTAATTGATATCATTGACACCTGGCGAGTCATCTCCACACTGCATTTACCAAAAACCATATCTCATCTTTCTTAACAAATTGTTATAAATCTTGAAATGTGGAATAAAATGTTTTGAAACTTACGGGAAAAGACCCTCTTCGATAGGTTCCCAAACATCAGTTATGCTTATTGAGCTGATTTGAGTATCTTGATGCAATCGAGGAATGTTTCTCTGTTTGAAAACTTCATGTTATTTTACTACTACTTTGCATCAAAAAGAAAAAGGATAAAGTTACAGACAAGTGATTTAAGTAGTAAACCTTGATATATTCTGCAATGGTTACTGTCTTGCTAATTGCCTGTCCCATTGCTTTCAGCACAATTTCTTTCCCACGTCTCTCCTGTTAAAAAAAAAAAAAAAAAAAAAAAAAAACAATAATTCTTTTCAAAAAGATCAAAATGATTTGTTTGATACATACAACAACAAGATGAAACCTAGAGGAACACACAATCAAATCAGGAAAGAAAACATGAATGGCTGTTGCAGGGTACATAACACTACAGACAAAAAAAGAAGTTGGTCATATAAATAAAAGTATAAATGATTGCAGCATTAATGAGAATGTGGAGATGGATATATGGCTAAAGACTGAGATATAGGGTTACATATATAATAATCACATGAGAGAAGGATCTGTTAAGAAGAATTTGAGGTACCATGGAGATTGTATAGAAGATGATCAAGTTTAAATCGGTGATCAGAAAACAAAAGCGCATAAATAAATATGACATGATAAACAGTTCTGTAATTCTAACATTACACTCTAACTAAGCAAAACATACAAGGACAAACGGACAATGCACAAATCCATGGAGAAAATCAAACAATCATGTATTCATATGTTAATAGTTAATACTAGCCATCTATCAGCAGATCAAAGCGCCTAGAAAACCACATTGAAATAAAATGTTTGTTGCTGCACTAGAACGATGCAAAATTAATGCGAAAAAACACAAAATAAACAGCAATCGTCGTCGTATTCTATGATCAGACTCTAATCAAACACAAAATGCATGAAGAAGCAAAAAATGCCCTCATGAACCAAAAGATCAGACACGGATTTCACATTGGCATAAACTGAGCAACAGAACTTACGAAAAGGTAACGAGAAGCACAAAGTAATACACATTTATTAAATAGACATCGGAATGATAATGGTAATACCTGAAGAAGAGTAGTAGCATAGCTGACGTAGTTACGAACCAAGCCCTGAGAAGTGATTCTGATCTCATTCTCGTTGATAGGTATATCCGGTTTCTTCTGTTCCACCTTCGTGTACCTGTCCATGGCGCCCAAAACCCTAGAGATAGAAAATAGCCCTAAAACCCTTTTTTCTGATGAGTGAGAGAGATGAAGAAGGAGAAGCAGCCGGAGAGGCTAAAACCCATTAGAAGGAATTTCTTAATCTTAACAACCATATCCGGGTCGGTCAGCTTTTAATGCCCCATTCTACGGGGCTGACCCGATTTTTACTTCAATGGTAAAACCCACGCGCAAAACCATGCGACTGAAGGACACGTATCGTTTTTATTAGCTACCACGCCGGACCCAATCAAATTTCGGTACCACAAACACGCGACAGTGATATTGTACCATGCAATATGGCGGTATAAAAATAAAAGTACAACTGACATGTATCATTATACGTTATGATTTGAGTAACTTACAGTTTTGGTCCCTTAGGTATGCATATTTATGTAGGTTTGATCATATTTTTAAAAATTGATGCTAAATATCCTTATGATCCTCAAATCCATCAAATATGGTCCGTATCCCGTTTACCGTCGATGGTCATCCGTTAAGTACATATAAAATGACTAATTTTTCTAATACCACATTTACTTATGTTTATATTTACAAAAAATTGTACATTTAGCCAAATATATTAATTATTTTGTGGAAAATAGTAAAAAAAAAAACCTAAATTGCATTTTTAGCCACTAAAATCGCAGATGAGTATAATCCATCTGCAATTTAACCATGCCATCTGCGAACGTACAAGTGGCTAAAACACATACGTGCTTTAGCCGTTTGTACGTTCGTAGTGTTTTTTTTGCCGATATATATATATATATATATATATATATATATATATATATATATATATATATATATATATTTCAGCCTAAAATCGCAGATGAATTATGTCCATCTACGATTTTCTCTCTTTTTGAACTGCAATTTTGTGATTTTTTTTAAAATTTTGACTATGAAATTGATAGGTTTGACTACACAACAACCTTATTATATATAAAAAATTTCAATAAATTATCATTTTTGTTGTTATTTTTTTGGAAAATTTGTTTAAAACATCTCTAAGGAAATCGTCCATGATAACTCTAAGGAAATCGCACAGAGAGAGAGAGAGAGAGAGAGAGAGAGAGAGAGAGAGAGAGAGAGAGAGAGAGAGAGAGAGAGAGAGAGAGAGAGAGAGAGAGAGAGAGAGAGAATGAAGAAAAAAACGTTTTTATACTAGATCCTACGAAATCACGGATGGACTTCACATAATCACAGATGGACTTTTCCATCTGCGAACGTCCAAGTATCTGAAAAACATCTGTGTTTTAGGCACTTGTACGTTCACAGATGGAATGGCAAAATCACAGATGAGTTTAATCCATCTGCGATTTTAAGGGTTATTTTTGTAATTTGAGTTTTTTTTTTCCACAAAGTAATTAATGTATTTGGTTAAATTTGTAATTTTCTCTTATATTTATTATTATTATTATTATTATTATTATTATTAAATAGGTCCTACCTACCCTAAAACCCTACCCCCACCTTGAATTTGTTGGTGACACTCTTTCTCCAACACCAATTTTCATCTCCTACACACTACTAATGTCATCTCCATAGTCCAAAAAAAAAAAACACCTCACATTTTTTTTTCTCCGACGAGTTGTCACCACCACAATCCATAAAATAATCAACCATTTTCATCTCCGGCAAGCTACCACAACTACAACCCATAAAATAATCAACCCTCCCCCCCCCCCCCACCCTCTTCATCTCTGGTTATCTACCTCCAACAACCAAAAAAACAAAACAAACAGCAAAATAGTGTGTAGGAGAGAGAGAGAGAGAGAGAGAGAGAAAAGAAAGGGGGAGAGAGAAAGAGAAATTGGTAATGTCAGAATAAGGACAGAAGAAGGAGGGTATAAGAAAGAGATGTCCAATTTGAAGGGGTGGGTTGAAAGTTGATGGTGAAAGAGGTAGTTGGCTTTAATGTAGGAGAGAGAGAGAGAGAGAGAGAGAGAGAGAGAGAGAGAGAGAGAGAGAGAAAGAGTGAGAGAGAGGGGGGGGGGAAGAGACAGTGTATGTGGTGTTGGAGTTGTCGGCATAAAGTTATCGATGTTGAAGACTTAGATACTATGGTCGTGAGAGACAAATACATTCAATGGATTATTAGGGGTTTGTAAGGCTTTATGGCTTTATTTCAAGATTTCATTGGTGTTGTATATGGAGCTCAGAGGAATCAAAATAACAAAAAAAAAAAAAAACAATTTTTTTTGTCATTTTACATGCTTTTAAAGGATGGTTATGGAAGGTAACTAGGTTAGGGTTAGGGACTAACCTAATAGATTTTGAAACCATCATGAAGATCATTGTATCAATTTTTCAAAAATAAGACCAAACATGCAGAAAAATGCATATCTTATGTACCAAAACTGTGATTTACTCTAGTAATAGTTTACGGGAAAATCATACAAAAACCCTATGTATTATATGTTAGTGCTTAAAAAAAAACTCATATATATATATATATATATATATATATATATATATATATATATATATATATATATATATATATATATTAACTATTATTATTTTCGAAACCGTCTAAATGCATCTAAATAATTCGGTAACCCTAAGTTACCTGTTCTTATTAGTCAATGTGGATTAACCTTCATTAGACAGTTCTTTAAACTTTAATAAATCTAATAATGTAAAAAAGTGTTTTTCACATGAAAGAAGGAAAGCGTTGTGAAATTAAGCAGTAAAATCAGTGTTAATACGGCTTCGTTAACTTACAATCGACTTAAATCCAGGTTCGTTGTCTTGCTTAATATAGTTAGCATGTATGATTTTTGTTATTTTGTTGTTTGCATGGATTCTCTAATTAAGTTTTAACAAACAGTTATGGATTCAACTTCAAATACTGAATACGAAGTTAATATGGAGAGTTTGAATGGAACAAGTGATGAGTATGATATTTCTGGGTTGTCTTTAGATGTCGATGACGATGAATATGTAGCTTATTCAGTTAACAAGACAATATAAGATCCTTTTTTTAATGACTTTGTATATAGAGATATGGAATTGCTTGAAATGTCATCTTGATGATGAATGGACCCTTCCCATGAAGAATTTGAGGGAGGAGAGGAAAAAGATCAGGATACTGAAAATGGTAATAACGAAATTTATACATACATATTCTATGCTTGTATCAAATGTAATACTTTCATAACTTTTGCAACTAATTTAGAAGAGCAATTTCATGTGGTTGATAGCGGGATAACAATTGATGTGCCTATTATCCATACAATGCTCAAACCAATAACTCCATATGAGAGAATTATTAAGACCAAGCTCTGAAACCCGATTTTTGATAAGGATGGAGGTGGATCTACATAGGACAAACCTGCTAAGTTAGAATAGTATAATTCAGGATCGCATCCACCTGAATGTCCTCTAGTGGCACCACTTCCATCCCATCGGTGATACACTTCCTTAACTGAGACACGTCGAAGGTATCATGTATCTGGCTCAACTCCGCGGGTAGCTCTAATCGATATGCTACCTGGCCCACCCTCGCGGTCACCCTGAATGGTCCAATGTGCTGGGGCCCCAGCTTGCCCCTCTTCCGGAATCGAATCACTCCTTTCCAAGGAGATACCTTCAGGAGTACGAAGTCTCCCACCTGAAACTCAAGCTCGGATCGTCGCCTATCCGCATAACTCTTCTGGCGGCTCTGAGCTGTCAACAACCTCTGTCTGACCTGCTGTATCTGCTCTGTCGTCTGAAACACTATCTTATTGCTGCCCCATCACTCGTTGCCCTACCTCTCCCCATCAGATGGGAGTCCAACACCTCCTCCCATACAACAACTCGAAGGGAGGCATACCAATGCTCGAATGGTGGCTGTTGTTTTCGGAAAACTCAGCCCAACGAAAAGTACGTGTCCTAACTTCCTTCGAAGTCCAACACACATGCTCAAAGCATGTCCTTGAGCATCTGAATCGTCTGCTCACTCTGTCCGTCCGTCTGTGGGTGATAAACGGTACTGAAATGCAGCCTCATGCCCAGCTCCTCATGGAAACTCTTCCAGAACCTGGAAGTGAAACGTACATCTTGATCTGACACAATTGAGATCGGCACTCCATGCCACGATACCACCTCTCTCACATACAACTCTGCCAACCTCTTAGCGGAAGAGCTCTCACTAATAGCAAGAAAGTGAGCGCTCTTTGTCAGCCGGTCGACGATCACCCAAATTGCATCGACACCCCTCGTGGTCCTCGGCAAATTGGTGATACAATCCATAGAAATTTGTTCCCACTTCCATTGGGGAACCTCAAGTGGTTTCAATTTGCTATGCAGACGTTGGTGCTTGGCCTTAACCCTGCGATAGGTCAAGCACCTCTCAACAAACCACGCTACATCCCTCTTCATACAGGGCCACCAGTACTCTCTTTGCAGGTCCAGATACATCTTAGTGGGCCCGGGATGGATCGAGAACCTTAGTCTATGCACCTCCTCCATCAAGATGGTACGTGCCCCACCTCCAAATGACACCGAAATCCGACCCTGAAAGGTCAAAATGCCTCAGCTATCGGTAATGAACTCAGGTATCTGCCCGATCACCCGTTCTCTTTTGCGGTTCTCTAGTAACGCGAACTTTGCCTGGGCCTCCCGAATGGTGTCCAACACCAACGTCATGACCGTCAACCGCATATAATTATCTCGAATCGGGGCACTCTCTGCCCTACGACTCAAAGCATCAGCTACAACATTAGCTTTGCCCGGGTGATACAAGATCTCAAAATTGTAATCCTTTACCACATCCAACAATCTCCTCTGGCGTATATTCAGGTTGGGCTAATCCATCAAATACTTCAAACTCTTATGGTCCATGTATATAGTCCACCGAACCCCATACAAATAGTGACGCCAGATCTTGAGGGTGAACACCAATGCCCCCAGCTCCAGATCGTGGGTGGGATACCTCGTCTCATGAGGCTTCAGCTGCCTCGATGCGTATGCTATCACGTGTCATCTCTGCATCAGCACCGAACCCAACCCTAATATCGATGCGTCACAATATACCACAAAATTTTCCATCCCCTCCGGAAGGGCTACTCCGGGGCTTCGCATAATCTCTGGTGATGTGTCTCGA